TGCCTTTGGGGGAAGCTGGGGAGGGAGAGGCTCAGACACCCTCCTGGGAAGGAGCTAGTGGGCAGATCTTTGATCTTAAGGCTTTATCTATCTCTCTTGCAGGCAGGTTCTTAGGGGAGGTTTCAGGGGAGGGTTTCTTCTAGGTGTACCCTTCATGGTATGGTCTCCACTGATTGGTCAGTGTCAGCACAGGGGGTCCTTAGGCATTGCAGTTGGTCCTAGTGTCACCCACCTGGTTTTGCTGCTTTTCTGGGTGTGGAGCTGATATATAACTGAGGCCCAGAGGTTATCTCTAGACCTGCATCTGCTGAAAAATGCTCTGCCAGTTTGTTCAGCTATTTGTCTGTTTCCCCCATCCCACTGTCCTGGCTTACTGCCCTGTCTTATTATAATGCTTTTAAAGTTCAGTAATTTTGTAGGAAGTGTCATTATTTTTTCTTTATATTCTTTGGTTGTTCCGTTTTATTGCTAAGTGGTATTTCATTATATGGATACTAAAGGCCCAGTGCATGAAATTCATGCCCAGGGTGGTGGTGGTGGGGGTCCTTCAGCCCAGCCTGCACACTCTTGCAATCCGGGACCCCTTGGGGGACGTTTGACTGCCGGTTGAGGCCCTGGGATTGGACTCAACCAGCAGTCAGACATCCCTCTCACAATCTGGGATGACTGACTCCTAACTGCTGGCCTGCTGCTTGATTACCCCTTAACCATTTGCCTGCCTGCTTAGTGTGTCATAGCAACTGGTCATTGCCATTAGTTCGATTTGCATATTACCCTTTTATTATATAGGATAGTACATTTTTTTTCATCCATTCACTAACTAATGCATATTTGGATTCTTTTCAATTTAGGACTATTAGGACTAAGGCTGCCATGAACATATGCACACATATTTGTGAATACATATGCTTTCATTTTTCTTGGATAAATTTCAAGAAAAGGAGTTGTTGGGTCTTATGGTAAATATGTGTTTAACTTCATAAGAATTTGCCCAAGTATTTTCTGATATAGTTACAATATTATACACTCCTCTCAATTTTTACCCTCAAATATAATTATAACAATGATGATGATAGTAATGGAACAATTGCCCTTATTTTATATTTTACTTTCTTTTTATGTTTTGATTTTTATTCATCATTTATATTTTGTTGAAAGGACTGAATTTGAAATTCATCTTATCAAAATTTGAACCTCTCTACCTTAAACTAAACCTCGGGGTTCTAATTCAGGACGCTTTTTACTGGTGCATTTAACTAATAATTAATCAATGCAATCAGTTCTTATGAAAAAATAAATGTATAACAGGTTTTAGCATCTTGCAAACCTAGTCATTATTTATGTGTCTTTTTTAAATTTTCCTGTGAAAAATATATTTTATCTCATTAAATTAAGTATCAACCAATAAGTTCTGAAAAGAAATTCATCATCTTGCTTGTTTATATGTTTGTATTTCATAATTAGGTATATAGCTGAGATTTAGTACTCAATTTAAAAAACAACATCATTTTGAATTGATGCTGCCCATTAAGGATCTATCATCATTTCTGAGGAAATACCTTAAACTACAACAATCTGACAGTGTAGCAGCTGTACCCTATAACCATTCCTCCCTGCCTCCTATACCATTTCTTTCTTTCTAAAAAATACAGTTTTGCTCCTTTTCTTCCCCTGCCCACACAGGGTGAGTGAGGCTGTAATCCCGGGTCCTCCTCATGTGTGGGAAGTAGGTGTGGGGAGGGGGAACTCTGGGAAAGTTTAGTTGCTCCTTATAGAAGCACAGAGAAAACACTCAGTTTTCCCGCCTTTGGAAGTTGTGAGAGAGTAGGAGGCCTAAAGCTGCCTCAGGCATCATGCCCTCTCAGGGGAGCTGAGGTGCAATAGAGGGTGAGATGCCAAGTCCAGGTTCACTGGCGATGCCCTGGCCTCATGAACTGACCTACTCGCAGATGCTCCACCTGGGCTCTGCCTTCCACGTACAATAAATACACGTAAGAAAAATAAAGCAAATGAGGCCGGATTTTCTACTAGCAACAGAAAGCATTGTCATCAAAATATACTTCTGTTCTACCCTATAATTTCACACCCAAGGTCTACAATAAAATGAGGCAACTCACTGTATCTGAGATCAAAGCGAGAGTTGAATCCTGGGTTTAAATAGAATTTATCTCAGCTGCCCGTATTGCTGATGTTACTATCAGCTTATTGAACTCCAGCACAATGATAACCTATTTCACACAACTAATACTCAATGTAATTAAAATAGGCATAATCTTTAAAGTTGCTTAAAAATGAAATAACTATCTCTGACAGTAGAGAAATTGAATATACACCTGTCAGTTACTTACTCTTTGGATTTAGATTCACATTGAAACTGACTCTCCAGGTGAAACACAAGAGCAGAACCCACCATCTTCTGCCAGGTCAGTGCCTTTCCCTGAAACCTGCCCAACTCCTTTATATCATTAAAGCCGATGGAATGAAGAACTATCTACTGGTTTACAGCTATAGTTTCACAATGCTTTATGCAAGGATCAAAAAGCTTTGATTTTTAATTGTATATTTTTGTCACGTTTATTTCAATTGTTAGTTTGCTTACCATTTTTATGTAATCTCTAAAATGTTTTGATTTAAATTTTTTATCTATAATAAAATCATAATATGCTAATTAGATCAGACATCCTTCCAGGCAACCTTCCAGACAAAGCCAGAGCTGTGAGGGGAGCCCGGGTCCCTACTGGTGGCCAGAGGGAAACCTGCATTCCAGGTGCCACAGGGAAGCAGGTTCTGGCAGTTTGAGGAAGGAAGGCCTACTCTTGCCTAAATTTTGTGCATCAAGCCTCTAGTTATATTTATTTTAAAGTTTCTCAAGAAAAGATTATTAAATATTTTAACAAAAGTCTAGCTTTTATTCATGTCCATCAGCCCTCATTTTGCCCCACAATCACATTTTTAAATTCTCTATTATTTCTTTCTACACTAATGAAAGATTAAAATTTAAATTGACTGCACCTCTACGATGCCCATCAGCCAATCAGGAGGGAGTATGCAAATTAACCCAACAAAGATGGCAGGTAATTTGAATATACACCTAGCAGCAGTGGCAGGGCAGGGCGCAGGTGTACCGCACTGCCCCAGCAGCTCCGGGGCCTCTGGGAGTGTGGGAAGGCAGAAAGGCGGGTTGTGGCCTGAGGAGGGTCTGAGTGAAGTCAGAAAGGCAGCTCCAGGCCAGAGCAAAGGTGGAAAGGCGGCTCCAGCTGTAACCAAGGAGGTGCCAGCAGCCAGGGAAAGTAAGGCCTATTCTTGCGGGAATCTTCCTGCAACAGGCCTCTAGCTTATAAAGATAAAGAGAAAGGGTAAGCATGGCTCTATGTCCTATTCTCCTCTATTTTATTTAAAACATACCTGTGTACTATGCAAACTCTGCTGCTCCTGCTCACACGCACGGGGAGGCCCCCCACGGAGCTCACCCGCTCCCTCAGTGCGGAGGCTTGCATGCTGGTGGCCCAGCAGGGAGCCACCCGCCCCCTGGGTGCCCAGCATGGGCCCTGGTTGGTGCTCAGAGAAGGCCACCCAGGGTTTCCTGGGACAGACAGGGAGTTTGCCAACACGCTGGAGGCCTCAGAGGCGCACCTTTCCCACTAGAGGTGCTGCTCTGACCTGGTAGCCTCGGGGACCGACTCATGGGGAAGGTGCACCTCAGGGCAGAGTCAGCACAGCACACGTTTATCTGAGACACAGAGACTGAGGTGTGGAAGCCATCAGGAGACTAACACCGTAAAAGGGGGCTTCAAGAGGTACCGAATTAGTACCTTCATTTAAAAAATCAGAAAAAAAAGAATAAAATTATAGAAACTGCGGCTTAGCTGGTGTGGCCCAGGGGTTGGCATTGACCTATGGATCAGGAGCTAGGGTTCAATTCCCTGTCAGGACATCCGTCAAGGATTTGTGGGCTCGATCTTCAGTAGGGGTCATATAAGAGGCAGCTGATCAATGATTCTCTCCTGTCTCTCTCTCCCTCTCCCTTCCTCTCTGAAATCAATAAAAGTATATTTTTTAAAAGAAACTGTAAAGACATGACATCCATACAAGTGTCCTATGTTTCCTAAACTTGCTGTCCCCTCTCTGCATCCCTGGGGAAAGGAACCTGTGTGCTGGTCTTTGAGAAGCACCAACGTGGGAGACCACCAAGTTCAGTCCATTGCAGGCTCTCTCCTGGCTCAGGAACCAGGCCGATTACAGGATGGAAAACTCATGAAAAGCTGGACGGGAACAAGGAAACCTTCCAGGTGCCCACATGACCAGATTCAAGAAAACAAGTGAGAACTATTGTGTTGTGATGAGATCCTTTCTTTATCATTTCTTCCTACTTCCTGTCCTTGAAATCTGTGAGCAGATGATTTCACTCCATTTTTAATTGAGGAACATTTTATTAAGAAATGTGGGCAGAAGTGAGCTAAGGTGCACAGCAGACAGCGAGGGTTGAACACAAAGGGACGGGGAGGATGGAGCTGAGGCTCTGCAGCCAACACTGGGCCTCCAGGTCCAGGGCGGGGAGGAACCAGCAGGGAGAAGCAGCTGCGGGATAGGAGCCAAGACCAGCCAGAGCCCAGGCAGCTCTCCTTGTGGAGTGAGAGCCCAGCAGGAAACCTCTTCAGGCTGAGAAGGGGCTGGACAGAAGGGTCTTTCCTGCCCCTGTCACCATGGCCACCTCAGCTCAGGAGCCCTGCAGACAGAGGACAGTGCAGTTCCCAGGCCCAGCCAGCAGGGGCGCTGCCCTCCCAGGCCTCCTGCTGTGGCTCCCAAGTGAGAAGAAGGCTCTGAGGCCACAGGAGGCAGAGCTGCTCTAGAGCTGCCTCTCACCAGCAGCTGTAGGGGCTGTCCTGTGGGCGAGGCCAGAGCCACCCCAGGCTCCCCCTCTCTGTCCCCTGGCTCCTCCCCTACACCTTCTGGTCTAGGGAAAGCCAATGGGTCCCTAAGAGAGGATTAAAGAGCCTTACCTGTGGGCTGAAGTCCAGAGTGTCCTGGGAAGAGAAGGAAGATGCTGCTTAAACATAGGAAGGTAAGTGTGACCCAAACACAGGGTCCCCGCCCAGGCCACCTGAGCTTCTCTGGCAGCACCCGCACCCGCTGACACCAGAGCAGAGCCCAGAGCAGAGCCCAGAGCAGAGCACAGAGCAGGGGCCCCGAAGCCCTCACATCCAGAGTCATCAGTGACCGCAGGGCCTGCTCCTCCATGTGCCCCAGGATCTGCACCCAAAGCCCGTGCGTGTGAACCCGCCTCCAGCCCACAGCCCTGGCTCCTCATGTCTCCACCCTGAGAACCGGGGGCTAGTGAGTCTGCGTTTCCAGGACACGGGAGACCCACAGGGAGAGAGGCCTCTAGGGCGCTGCCACCCCAGAGCTCACCCAGCAAAGCCCCGTCCCCCAGGGTCTGGGGCCTCGCTGCCAGCGGCTCCTTACCTTTCCGCGCCCTGAAGGAGATGAGCAGCCCCGCCCCGAGGAAGAGCAGCCCCAGCACGAAGCCCCCGGCCCCACTCAGCACCTTGCTCCGTGCGGATCCGGACTGGGCCCCTGGGAGGAGAGGCTGGTTTCAGTGGGTTTAGCCCAAAGCACCTTCTCTACTGAGGCCCTGGGGGAGGACTGGGGGTAGCACAGTGGGGGAATGGGAGGCTGCCCTAGAGGAAGCAGAATAGCCATTTCCATTTCCGGGAAAGAGACTGAGGTCACACTGAGCAGGTAAAGGCCCAGCACTGGCCTCAGGTGCCCTCAGTCCGGACCCAAGGCCTCTGCTTCGGCCTCTGAGGGCTGCGGGGCCCGGGCGCGGTGACCCTCGGGACTTGGCCCGGGTGACAGAGCCGCAGACGCAGAGCAGACGGGGTCTCCCGGGCAGGAGGGTCCCCACGCTGTGGAGGACGTGCCTCCTCCTGATCACAGAGGGCAGCTCAGCACCGGCAGAAGCACCCGCCCAGCCCACAGGGGACGGTGCCAGGGCCAAGGGGCACCATGGCGGGGGAGGGTGGGGATGGAAAGCAGGGCAGGAATGGCCTCCCAGGGCTATGGGTGTCCACAGAGCGATCGCAGGGCTGCCCTGTGGCCTGTGCTGAGGGAGGGACCCCAGCAAAGGAAAATGGGGTGTGGGGAGAGGACCCTGGCCTCAGGGACAAGCAAAGGCCCCGAGGTGGGGGGAGAGTGGGGGCAGTCAGAAGGCATCTCACTCCATTCCACGCTGATGGGGCTGGTGCTGCTGGGGTGCTCCACTTGGCAGGTGTAGACCTCCCCGCTCTGGGGCACTGTTTCCAGCATCACCAGCATCTGGAAGGTCCAGTCCCCGTTCCGGATCAGGCCCGTGGACACCACCCCGGCCTGCTCTTCCCGGCCGTCCCGCAGCCAGTGGACCTCAATGTGGCCCGGGTAGAAGCCGGTCACGGAGCAGACCAGGAGGTGGTGGTGCTGCAGGCGCTGGGTCTTTGCAGGGGACACGGTCACTGTGGGTGCAGCTGGGACAGAGGAGGCGGAGGGAGATGTGAGCAGACAGGCAATCCCTGGTGCTCCCCTTCGGCCTCGTCTCTGGTCCCAGCCCCAGGCCTGGGCAGGCCCCCCTGAAACCGCCCTGTGGCCCCACAGGAGGCAGTGCTATGGGCCTTGAGTCTCTGCCTCCAGCCCAGGCCACTGGATGGTAGAGACGCTGAGGAAACCTGGGGAGTTTTCACTTGAAACAGCTCCTCATTGCTGAATGGAAGTGTTCACAGATTGTGCGAGGCACAGAGTGTTTGCGTCAAAGTGTGGATCTGGAGCAGCGCTGCCTGGGGCACATCCGGGCTCTGCCTCTTCCTGGTGATCCTGGGAGACCCTCTCTGCTCAGCTCCTCACCCACAAGGGGGTGATCATACTTCTCACCGCTTAGGGACAATGAAGACCAATGGGCCTAACGTATATACAATGGGGGCTGGAACGCAGCCCTCACTATATATCTGCTGTTTCTTATAAACTAGAGGCCCAGCGCATGAGATTGTGTGTGGGTAGGTCCCTAGGCCTAGCCTGCGATGAAGGCCATCTTCTGCCTGCTCGCCAGTCCAAAGTCCTTCTCTACCATCACCCACCCCGGTTTGCTGTGGTTCCCATTCGCTATGCTGTGATTGGAGTCTGTGGGTCAGGGAGGGCGGGGGGTCTGGGGGTCAATGGGTTGGCCATTCTGCTCACTCATTAGTCCCCACTACCCCCCACATCCACCCACCCTGGTCCCCATGGTTCACCAAGCTGTAATTGGAGCCTGCGGGCCAGAGTGGAGGGTCTGAGAGGTGGTCAATGCACTCCATAGCGACTGCTCCAGCGGTCATTCCAGTCATTATGCTTATGGTATGTGGGCTTTTATTGTATAGGATGGAGAGAAAATATAAGGAAAACAGTGGGGAGAAACTGGGGACTGGCTTGGGAGGATGGAACCCAGGGTGTGGAGTCCTGGGAATGCGGTCACCCCTGAAACACAGAGATGGTCCCCCTGGAAGCAGGAAGAGGGGGATTCCCCAGCTCCGGGGCTGGGTCCTGAGGGAGAGGGGGGAGCAGGGCAGCCCCATTATACCACTTATAGCGATGCTCACTGAGCCACCTGCTCCTTCTCACAGAAGCTGGTCTGTTATTGGGATTCCTGTCCTTTTATAATTGTTTCTCTCTTCAATCTGACATTGGAGTTCAGGGCAGGGGCTGGGACTCAATAATGTGTGTACTTTCTGCCTGAGAGCATGCTTAATATAATAAATACAGTTTTGGAAAAGGAGAAGGAGAAAGTGGAGGAGGATGAAGTGTAGGAAGAAGAGGAGGATGGGGAGAAGGCAGAGGAGAAAAAGAAACTTGGGGAAACATTTTACTGCACCCCAGAAGGATAGTTTTAAGATTGTTGGTAAATCATTGCTAACCACTCTGCAGTACATTTCATTCCCTTAAAGATGTTTAAGTTCCTAACATGGAAAGAAATAAAACTGAATGAAAACACAAGGCAGGAGCTGGAGAAATGCTGAATCCATGTCAGCAAAGTGTCCCTCTGGCTGCCTAGAGAACCCGGAAAATCTCTGAGAAAAGGCCACTCTGCAGTACATTTCATTCCCTTAAAGATGTTTAAGTTCCTAACATGGAAAGAAATAAAACTGAATGAAAACACAAGGCAGGAGCTGGAGAAATGCTGAATCCATGTCAGCAGTGTCCCTCTGGTTGCCTAGAGAACCCGGAAAATCTCTGAGAAAAGGCCCGGACCCAGGGGTGACGGACAATAGGCCATTCCTAGAGCAGGAACAGCCATTAGCCAACACACACATGAAAAATGTTCAAGAACCTTCAAAATCAAAGAAGGATGAATGAAAAGTAATAAACAAATTTTTAATTGAGTATTTGGCAGTAATGTAAAAAGATTTAACATTATTGCCAGATAGAATGTATGTGAGGTAAACTGCCACAACTCTGAAACGTTAACATGTCATTACTTCAGTATTCCCAGCGCGGTGTGGATGTCACCTCAGTGTGTGAGGTCACAGAACTACAGTGTGGAGCCTGGTCCCATCATCCCTGTGTCCACAGGTGCAGGAAGGGGAACACACACTCAGACTACAGGAGCTCAGAAAGGCCAGGGGCCCTGAGCCCCGCCCTCACGCCCAGCCTGACCCTCCCCCAGGGAGAGGCTGGTGCACCCAGCACCCCTATTCCAGGGCTCAGGGTGAGGGGGGAAGGAGATTTGGCCAAGACAGACCTATTCCCTTCTCTCTCCTCCCACCTCCCTCCCTCCCCGCTGCTCCCCAAACCCTCCCCGACTGGACACGGTGGGCACCCCGGAAACGCCCCGACACAGGACAGGACCTCAGGGTCCTCACGGCCGCCCCCAGGCCCGCCAGGTGCCCCTCACAGCCCTGGGTGCGCCCTCCGCCCCTCCCATCCCCCTTCCCTCCCCCCCTCCGCCTCGGCCCCCGCTCACTTTGCCGCTGCACCAGGAATCCATCCAACACCCCGTAGTTGTGTCTGCAGTACGTGTCCACCGCGGCCCGCCTCTGCTCCAGGAAGTCCTTCTGGCTGTTCCAGTCCTCAGCAATCCGCCGCCCCAGCTCCGTCACCGCGCGGAACTCCCCCACGTCGCTGTCGAAGCGCACCAACTCCTGCCCATTGTGGAAGTATCTGTCCAGGAGCCGCAGCCGCTCCGTCCCGTTGGAGAAATGACACTCGGCCTTATGCTGCCACAGGAAATGCGCTGCGGGGACAGGAAGGACCCATCACGCCGGTGAGAGAAGATGGCGCCGCCGCCCAGCGCGGGGCGCCCCGGCGGTGCGGACACAGGACCCGGCACCCACTGCCAGCACCCGCCCCCTCCCCGGGGGCTGGAGGGAGGCCACAGGCAGGGGGCCCCCTGGGACCTCAGCCACGGGGACCCCTGGGCTTCCCGCGGGGCTCCGGGCTCCGGGCTGGGCGAGGACTGTGCCATCACCGCCTCCTCCTAGACCCCCCCCCCCCCAGCCTTTCCCGATCCCACACCCGCCTCCTCCTGTCACCCCCTGGGCAGGGGACCCCTTGCCAGGCCCAGCTGCCCCGGGTCCAGGCAGGAAACCGGGCATCGCCCTCCGCCCTGAGCTTAGAATTCACCAAAGTGCGGGCACAGCCAACCCCAGGCGGGTCACACAGGAGGGAGATGTCAGGGAAGGGGGTCTGGAGCAGGGACAGCAGAATCCCAGTTCCCTCAGGGCGGGGCCAGTGGCCTGAGGGACAGGAGGTGGCCTGAAGGGTGTGTGTGTGTGTGTGTGTGTGTGTGTGTGTGTGTGTGTGTGTGTGATGGGGGGAGGCACATTTCAGGGGAAGGCACTGCCACCTGCGAAGCCTGAGGGAACCCATGGCCTCCTGGGAACCAGAGACCCGGCTCTGAGCCCAGACAGTGGGCGGAGGGGCCAGAGCCTGGAGGAGTTGGGGTGCTGGGAGCCTGGGGGTGAGTGAGGGGGCCTTCTGCTCCCTGTAATGGAGCCCAGGGGTTACACCCCAATCCCAATAGGGCGCCCTCTCTTTCCTGCGTGTCCAGCCAGGAGGCGCAGAGACCCAGAGCACAGCGGTGGAGAGAGCCGGGGTGGATGGGGGCTCTGACCCCCTCGCTGGCGGGGGAGTCCCTGCAGGAACAGGAGGCCCTTCCTGAGAACAGGCCTCACCGCGATGGGGACTCATAAGGAGAGACTGGACGGTCAGCAGACAGGCAGTGACAGAACTCATGGCGTTTGGACTAACATCGCAAAAGGCAGATAAGAAGGAAGAATTTAAAATTCAAGTGACTGAATGGATTCAACTAGGAAGTGGTGAATTTGTGCAACTGTCTAGATTTTTCTTAATAAACCGTGAAGAGCTGCACTGGAAGGTGTGTGTGTATGAAGGTGAGTCTAGAATTTTCAGAAACAGCCCGTATCCAGCAGTGTTTCCACCTCAGCACTGTTCTGTGTGGGTGGGGTGGGTGCTCTGTACACAGTGGGCTGCACACAGCATCCCACCAGTTGTCAGAGAACCTCCCTGCCCTCTCCGCCTTCCCTCCCCTCTTGCCCCTGTGACACCAAACACAGCTTTAAATGTCGCAGATGTCCCTGGGGTGGGAAGGGAGAGAAAGGTTGGTGAACCAGCTGAGAAATCTGGAGTGAAAAAACAGAACAAAACACTGTTGATTTTGCAGCAGGTGGGAATTACATAGGAAGTTCTACCAATATATCTATTGAAAATCTTGCACTATATGAAATGTATATATTTTAAAAATCTGGTTCCAGTACAGAGTAATTTTTTTTTAGCAAAATAAATTTATTCAGAACCAAGATACCTGTTTCTTTGCCTTCCTACCCAATCAGCAAGTCATCATTTATCCTCCACATCATCTTCTTCTTACTCTCCTGGCCACTGGCCACTGCTTGTCTGCAGCAGCAGCTACAGCCACAGCCATTTGATTCCATTTCAAAGTCCCAACTAATTCATGTTCTAACTGCCTCCTGCTCCCAGTAATACCAGGAGGCATCAGGTTGCCAGCTTGGCCAATGTGGACTCTCACGTCTGCAGGCAGGTCCCTCAGGAGGGGAGCAGCTAAGATGACACCCTCACAGAGACAGGCTACAGAAAGGAGCAGGCCCAGCTTTAGATGGAGACCTTCACGTGGAAATGATGGCAGAGGGGAGGGCACTCTGGTCAGAGCGGGTCTGTCTAACTTTTCACAAATTCTCTAGCGCCTTCCTGACACGTGAGAAGGTTGAAAAGAAACATGTGTGAGTTGATCACTGTAGCCGGTGTGGTTGGCTGACACTATCAGGCCATGCCCAGGGGCCCAACTGAAAGGCCGCCCAAGAAAGCAAATACAAATACAGGATTCCCCGTTACATTTGGATTCCAGATAAATAATTGCTGTTTCTCTGGAATTCAGCTTTAATCGGGCATCCTGTATTTCCTTTGGTGGCACAAGCCCACTCGCTGATGGAATCTGAGGCAGAGGAGTGGACTTAAACTTCTCTGTATTCCTCACATGCTTACAACACAGTGTGAGCCCATATGGAAGTTTTCAAGTTGTAAATGCAAAATGGATGTAAGTTCCTCCTGTTATTGGAACCAGCAGCCCTTGCCCCTGCTGCCCCAGCCCTGAGACACACGCTGGCACCTGGGAGCATCAGCAATCTCAGCAGCCAGTCAGACCCGGCCACGCCACTGCTCACAGTGGGGGTAGAAGCCCAGCCCTGGAATGAGGATCTACATTAGAGAATTAGCTCTTCCACTGGCTCAGATGGCAACACCAGGGGCCTTGATCTTTATCTCCAAAATAGGTTTACTGATACTGCAGTCCTCACAGGATATTGTAAATATGGAATTACATAGTGACTCTTCCTAGTGCTGATCATATAAGACCTCAATAAATGTCTTACTCATAAGATCTTTCTATTCCTTAACTTTCTACATCAAATAATATCTTCATCATCATTTGACAATTGTCTTTAATTAACTTTATAACTCAATGTAATTTTGAACACAAGGACAGGAATATTGGTCTCTGGATATAACGGATATACATGCCCCAAATATGAAAGCACTATGCTGACATAGAAGAGAGAACTTTCTAGATACCAAGGCCTAGACTATGTCACCCAGCTCTACAACTAACCTTGTGACTCTGGGTCAGTGGATTAAACTCTCTGAATCAGAGTCCATGGTCATTACATCTGTAATTGCTGCAGGTAAGACGGGAGGGTTATGAGAGTCACACACTCACAGGGAGGCCCGGTGCATAGTAACTGCCCATGTGACGGTGCTCCATGCCGGAGGGACCAGGTTTGTCTTGTCCATGACTCCACCCTCATCACCAGGTGGTGGCTTCTGTTCTGGGTCACTGATGAACAGTGACTGTGGAACTGGTGGCTTTCATAACCAGTTACTTCCCTGCCTCCTAGCAGTTCTCCCCATACCTGGCCACTCCCTCCTTCTGGAAAAATCTATTCCCCTCACTGCCCTGCATCACCTTCTCTTGGATTTCCTCACACACTGCACCCCTTCTCGGTCCCCTTTGCTGACTCATTGGCCCTTGGTCCTCTGGGCTCGACCCTTGACTTCTTTCTCCTCCTCTTCCTGCTCCTCCTACTCCTCTTCTTCTTTCTCTCTTCTCTCTCTTTTCCTCTCTCTCTCTCTTCTCTCTCTCTCTCTCTCTCTCTCTCTCTCTCTCTCTCTCTCTCTTTCTCTCTCTCTCTCTCTCTCTCTCTCTCTCTCTCTCTCTCTCTCTCACCAACTCCTCCTCCTCCTTCTCCTCCTGTTCCTCCTCCACTTCCCTGGAGTTTAACACAGCACACGTGTCAATTACACCAACACAAACACACTCTGCCCTGGCCAGCCCTGAACTCCAGGCTCCTGTGTTCAACTGACTTCTTGACAGCTCCACACAAATGTCAAGAAACCATTTCAGACTTACACAGAACCTTTCTTCCTCACCACCCCCTTCAAACTACTTCTTACACAGTCCTTCCCATCTCAGTAAACAGCTCCAAGTTTATTCAAATTATCCTATCTAATAAAAAGGGAATATGTTAATTGCCATCACTCCATCACAAAGATGAGGCCAAGTTCCCATAAGGAGCCTCAATGACCAATCAGCAGGGACCAGAGGCTACGTCCTCCCTCACCCCCCCATGGGTTGACAAGGGACCTCAGGCACTGGGCCAGGGGACCTGAGGCTGCACCCCCTGGCTAGCTGGGCTTCACAGGGGACCTCAGGCCATGCCTCCCATCCATCGGGGCTCAACAGGGGACCTCAAGGTGCACCCCCAGTGCTGGGTCAAGGGAACTCAGGCCATGCCCCCCGCCCAGCGGGGCCTGACAGGGGACCTCAGGTCATGCCCCCCACTTGGTGGAGCTTGACAGAAGATCTCAGGCTGTGTCCCCCACTGGCAGAGCTTGACGGAGGACCTCAAGGCACGCCCCCCCCACCACCACCCAAGTCTGGGCCATGCCCCAACCCCCCATCCTGGCACCGGGCCAGGGGACCTGAGGCTATGCTTCCTGTCTGGCAGGGCTTGACAAGGGTGGGACTGGCTGGGTCTGGATCTAGCCCAATTGGGGAAGGGGGTGGTCTGGTCTGGGTCTTATGCGATTTTGAGGTACATGTGGGTGGGTGGGGACTTGACTCTGGGTCCCCTGGGGAGCCCCAGACTCTGACAGGAGGAAGGTTTTCATATACATTTTACTAATTTTCTTTTCTCTCTGACACTTCTATTGTAGAGAAAGGGCAAATAGCAATATTGAATTATTTCCTCTAATTAATCCCCTTTTAATATGCACAAATTTCATGCACTGGGTCACTAGTTGAATATAAAATCCTTAGGGATTGTGACTCCTCCTCATTTCATCCATAACACGTCCTGGAAATATCTTCCCTCCCCCCAACCCCCAATCTGCTCACTTCCCCTTTCCCGCTGCCTCTGCCGCACACACTCACTGAAGCCCAAGCACCACACCTGGGTGCTCCTCCATGCTCCTCAGGGCCCGACTCCTCTTGTGAGCCCTGCAGTGCAACCTCCACCTGGAGCTGGGATTATTGCTTTTATTTTTTTTAATATATTTTATTGATTTTGTACAGAGAGGAAGGGAGAGAGATAGAGAGCTAGAAACATCGATGAGAGAGTCATCGACCAGCTGCCTCTTGCACACCCCCTACTGGGGATATGCCCGCAACCAAGGTACATGCCCTTAACCGGAATCGAACCTGGGACCTTTCTGTCCCCAAGCCAACGCTCTATCCATTGAGCCAAACCAGTCTCGGCCTGGGATTATTGCTTTTAATAAACATACGTGGACTCTCCTTATAACCCTCAGCAGTTCACATGTCTCTTCAGATAAAATTCAAACTTCTTACCCACCATCAGGGCCCAATATGATGTGCCTCCCATCTTCTCCAGCCTCTCCCTATGTCAGTGTCACTCCCCAACTTGCTCCTGTGCTGCAGCCACGCTAGCCTTCTTCCTGCCCCTCTAACACGGCAAACACGTTCCCACACTGTGGCCTTTCCCTGTTCCTCTCCCTGGGACACTTGTCCCCAAGATCTTCACAGGATGGCTCCTCTTACCATCCAGGTCTCAAATGTCTCTACACGTCACTTCCTCAGGGTGAGCTCCCTAACTACTTGAAGTGACTTCAGGTGAATCTATTCTATTCTGTAACCATGGTGTTGTGTGTGTGTTTTTTTTTCAGAGCAATTATTGCTCTCTGAATGTTTTCTTTCTTAAATGTTATAGGTTATTGTATTTCTCCCCTAGCATTAGCTAAGTTACATGGTAAAAGGGGACTTTCTATCATATTCAAACAGGCTTCTCCGAGTCTAGAACAGAGCCTTGTATGAAGTAGTCACTCGGGTAAATATCTGAAATGATGAACCCAAGTTCTGGGCCTTGATCATTGTGGGGACCCTGGAAAGCAGCAGGGGCACAAGCTCCTACACCCTTTTATTCAGAAGACACTTTATGTTCCCTCTGCTTCCTGTAGGAAATTCAGAGACTCTTCCTGTTTTTCCTCCTACTAGTTGGAAGAAACATCACAGGTATGGAAAGAGGGAAAATACCACTACATTTTATCTTGTCCATGGGTCTGTTCCAGGGCTGAGGGTCTGTGTGAGCTTTGAGATCTCAGGAATGGTGATGACATAGCTGGGAAAAGAATAGGGAGGACCTGGAAGTAGAAGCGACCAAACACAGCTAATTAAGGGAAACAGAGGGCACAATGAATGGACCTGTGGCATTGGGGCCAAGGCTCCAGGAGGCCCCTTGAGTTCCCTTGACTTGATTATTGACTTTCAGCCCAGTGGGATGCTTACACACTCTCTCTACTTCTGCTCAAGGTGTATAATTTGAACATATGAAATTGCTAACATTTGACTATTTTTAACTTAAAAACCCAGAATTTCAATCACTTTATCTCTACTAGTTGAATCCAGACCTTTGGTCTCAGGCCAGAGAAGGACATATATGTGAGAAAATGATAGACTAGAAAGGTTCAACATAGATCCATAATGAGCACTAACCTGGCCAGGTGTTCAGAATATGCCTTAATTTTTTTTAAGACACCAAAGACCACCCTATAGATGCCCCTCATCTGTAGGATCATTCCAAGCACTAAGAATTTCTGCTTCAGCTCCCAGGGATTTTTTCTCAGGAGGAAGAGAGAGCATTAACCTCACTTCTGTTGGAGAACCTCATTACATGACACAGCCTTATAAACCTTGGAGTTCAGGGAGAAAGGAAAGGAGATAGTGGGGAGACCCTTTAATACATCTCACATAGTAGGGAGAAGCACCAACTTCACAGATTCTGTTGAGGACAGGACACAGGATCCTCAAAGAGAAACCCTCTAATTTCCTTTGACTGTCATAAAACTTCAAAGAAACTTTCCTCTTGGGTATAATTTAATACAAAAAAATGGAGCACTGGGTGGGAATTAGGCTGAAATCATTATTTCTCAATCCTCTCAAGACCTCGATGGAAGGGGACACAGAACGGGGAGGCTTACTAGAGGCGAGGGGAGAAAAATGGCTGAGATACATGGAGGCCCTTGCACATTTCATAGTGGCCAGCACCAGCCCCTTTGGTGGTGGAAAGAATCAGGGTCCATGTGATAAAGGCAGGTGGCCTCTGAGGAAAATGCCACCACTTTCTAAGGGCCACGGCCTGGTCACAGTGACAGAGCTCATTTCCTTTCTTCCTCACCCACAGCAGCTCACCCCCAAGGAGCACTTACCTGGTGTGTCCCTGGTCTGAGCCAGGGGAGGGCTCAGTGCCATCAGCATCACCATCAGAGCGGCCATCCAGGAGCCTCCGGGGAACCACAGGCACACCATGCTGGAGCTCAGAGAGGACAGGGCAGGGAGCAGGCAGGTCTCACTCAGGGAGGGTTGTGACCCTTCTCCACCCACAGCCCCAGTAATACCAACTAGGGAACTCATTTCTTTGTTCTTTGATTGGTTTATCTCAGTACTGAGAACCAATCAGCATCAGAGATGAACAGCATCACCAGTTGCTGGTCAGAGATTCAGTATGAAGGTCCTCTTCTGAAACTTAGAATTTCCTGCATTAAATAAACTGTTTTAACTTAGTGCTTTAAAGGTTTGATCCCCTGCTAGTGGAAACACTGCACTGGGCCCTGTTGTGAGGCAGCTCTGCGCTGGTCAGTGATGAGCACACAAGTTGGAGCCTTTCAGGACCATTCATCTCTCTGCAGACAGAGCTGTTTAGACAATTGGAACAGTGACTGTGCTGGGAGCTGAGGGTGAGGGAGGGGACTGCAAGTTAGGAGGCCTTCAATTTTGTCCATTTGCACCACAACTGAGTGTGCAGATTTGGGAAGTGACAGCCTCTCACAGTTAGAGCCCCTGTGATCTTCCAGGTTTTTCCATACTGGGAAAGGTGTGATTCTGGGGACACCTCAAGGAGCAGCTTTCCCTAGTAACTGATGACCTGACAGGCTGGTAGTTGCTGATTGGAGAGTATAATCAGTGACTCTTTTCAAGGAGTGGGATGTCACTCACTGAAGGAAATGGGAAGTTGTTCAATGATTTAACCCAAGTGAAATGTTTTCAGGTTTATGTCCTGGTGCTGTCACTGAGCTCAGGGCATCTCGGGAATACACTGGAGATAGGGGCTGGAGGAGGCGGTCCATGTGACATGGAGGGAAAGTGCCTTGGACAGCACTTAACCCACCAGTGTGAACAGGCCTCCTGTCCAAACCAAAGTGTGCAAGGGGCTGGGGGACTGAGGAAGGACCCAGAGGCAGCCTGTGGCCCAGCAGTTCTGCATTGGAATAGCTGGTATTTCATGGGAAAAGCGTTCAGGTCTTTACCTGTCCCATTAGGATTTTCCCATTTTGAGGGGGCATGTCCTCTTATTCAGTCAACTGCTCTTGCTTTATTCTACAAAAATGTGGAAATAGGATTTTCTAATGGAATTTTAAAAAATTTCTCTATTGATTAAGGTATCACATATTTGTCCTCAACCCCCCATTCCAATCCTCCACCCCACCCCCCCACTCATGCCCCCACCCCACTATTGTCCTCAACCACTGGTTGGGCTCATATGTGTGCACACAAGTCCTTTGGTTGATCTCTCCCTTTTATCCCCACCCTCCCTTTGAGGTCCACCAGTCTGACCCATGGCTCCTTATCTCTGGGTCTGTTCTTGTTCATCAGTCTATGTTGTTTACTATTTCCTCTAGATGAGTGAGATCATGTCCTACTGGAAATACACTTATAAGAATCAAAAATGAGACAAGCAATAATGGTTATGCTGAAAGGCATATGAATCAGGCTGTAGAGAGTTTCTTTCTGGGCCACCAGTTCTTTTGAGACCCAATTTCAATGTCAAACAGTTCCTTATGTGTACATGTCAGCAATGATATTTCAATTCTAGATGGTGGGCAAATGGTAATAATGCAGGTCCGACTCTCTGTGGTTTGGTCCTGGGCGACCTGCAGTGATACACAGCTGCTGTCTGCTGGTATGGAAAGGCGTCATCAGCATCTTCCATCTCTGGACTGCTTCTCTTCTATCTTCATGGCTGGAGCAGTCCTGTCAAGTCCTCTCTGTTGCCAGAATCCACATGGTCTCAGAGTTGTTCTCTAAAAACATACAAACATATTTTGACCAAAAGTTAATAAAGGAATATTTTCTATAAATTTGACTTGCGATCCTTTTTCATTTTTTGCCCAAATGATTTTCCTTTGGCTTGTTTTGACACCATGTGTGTTTAAAAAAAAAAAAAAATCAAGACACATACAGATAGAAAGAGAAAGGCTGAAAAGACAGTCCATGCAAATAGAAATGAAATGAAAACTGGGGAATCAGTATTCATATAACACTAAACAGACTTTAAAACAAAACAAAAAAAAAGTAAGAAAAGACAAAGAACAATACATAATTATAAAGGGATCCATCCAAGAAGAAGATAGAATAATTGCAAATATCTACACACCCAACATAGGAGCATCTAAATATATAAAGCAATTACTAATAGACTTAGAGGGAGAATTCTGCAGGAATACAATAAAAGTAGGGGATTTTTAGTAACTCACTCACATCAATAGAGCTCAGCCAGACAGAAAATTAATATGAAAATAATGACTTCAAGGTCACAGTAGGCAAGGTTAACTTCATAGATGTTTTTTTTTAAGGACATTTTATGCCCAAACTGGAACAATACACAGCTTTTTCAAGTGCACATGAAATATTCTCTGGGATAGATGGGATAGATCACAAATTTGGTCACAAAACAAGCCTCAATAGAAGATCCATGTGGCAGCAGTTTAGGTGGAAGTTACACTCACCCCCTCTCAGAACCATTATCAAAATTACAACTAAATGATAAAACAATCAACATAAACAGCCTTCTGAAGACTAGCTGAATTGAAGTCTTATAACTAATAACATAGAGAGAGAGCACCTTCTGACTCATAGGAGAACCAGAAATGTAAAAAAGGTTGGGCCTTTATCCAAAGTCAGCAGCTGAGAATCCGGAAAGATAGCTCAGCAGTAGGGGTCTCCCCAGAGGAGTGATGGGGTCTGAATCCTACATTGGGATCCCCAGCCCAGAGCAGCAGGACAGGCAAGAGGAGCCTAAGAATGTCTGGCTGTGGAAATCACTAGGGATTCCACCCCCTAGCTGAGATAAGAGACAGCTGGAAACACAGGCATCTTCTTAAAGGGCCAGCACAAACCACCTTGTACCCAGGTACTCACCTTGGGCTCTGGAGGAAACTGGAGTGATATAGGGAGAGATTGGGTTGTGTGGCCTGAGGGAGGGGGCTGGAAGGGCAGCTGCCAATGTTCCTATGCTGAGTCCTCTCCCACACTGCCTACAAACTTCATCTTTCCTGGGTCGAGCACTGCCCTCCACATGCCATTAGCCTGGGGAGATGCACTAGCCTAACCTTGCTGACCCTTTAAGGCCTCACCCTGCCAAGTGTACACTTGATGGCAGAATCTGGTGATGGCAGCCAGCCTCGGCCTGCTTTAGTCTTTCTTGAAAAACTCTTGACAGGCACCACCTTTCCTGTACAAAGCCCTCCTCCAATCCTAACCTGTTTTACCTGATGAACTCTACTGGTCACACCCTGACATCTCCCTGAGACCTGCCCCACCACAAATGTCTGCAGACCCCAGGTGGGTGGCAGCTGACCCTGGTATACCTGAGACTTTGGCTGAATGGTCTCAGACCCAGCACTAACACTGAATTTAAATCAGTATTAACCCAGTGAACACTATCTCCCCTACCTGGTAACTCACTGAGCACCTGCCTCACCCAACTGGTGTACAGCCAGACCTTGCAGTGTCTGAGCCTAATGGACAACCACAGGCATGCACATCTCAGGGTGCCCCAGGCCTTTTGCTGAGCTTCCCCTGGGCTCAGTGCTGTGAGAACTTGTTATACATCTTTGATCCTCCAGTGCACATCTAGGCCCAGCACAGAAAGAATCTGACATTGACCTATACCAGAGTCCTGCCCAAGAGGTCCCCAAACCAACACATCTGATGGGGGGTGAGGGGTCTTCAGACCACGATCCAGAGCAGGACACAAGCAGCCCATCCAAAGGGAGATCTCATCAGGCACCACACCCTAATGAGGCAAGTTGTGCTTCATGTGATCAGCACCAGCATAGCAGCTTGTACACTGTGGTCAGGGTTGATTCTCACAGACAGCGAGGCTGAGGGTTAACCTCACACATAGAGAGGCCAACAGTAATTAAGACTACAACAGGCCTTACATTACCCACACAAGGACATTCCTAGAGCACCTTCCTCATGTGATAAGAGAGACAGTGTTACTTGGCTCCACTGGAAACCTACAATGTAAGGCCACTTTACCAAGACTGAGACATAGCAGGCCTTCCTAATTCACAGAAACAAACCCAGAGAGGCAGCAAAAATGGGAAGATAAAAAGACCAAATAAAAGAACAGGGAAAACCCCCCCAAAAAAACTAAATAAAATGGAGGCAAGCCTTCCATCAGATAACGAGTTGAAAACTGGTTATAAGAATGCTCAAGGAACCTAGAGGAAGAATGGATAAACTTAGTGAGAACTTAAATAAAAAGATAGTAGGCATAAAAGAGGACAAAGAAACCATAAAATCGAGTAATAAATGAAGAGTAAAATATCTGAAATGAAGAACATATTAGAAGGAATCAATAGTAAGTAGAATGAAGCCGAGGTTTGAATCCGTAATTTCAAAGACAATGCAACAGAAAACAACCAATTAGATTGGCAAAATTTGTTTTCTAAGTGAGGAGTACAGGGACCTGTGGGACAGATGAGGTAGAAAAACATCTGCATCACAGGGGTACTAAAAATGAGAAGAGATAAAGCAAAGAATTAAGAACCTATTTGAAGAAATAATGACAAACTATCTTAATTTGATGAAGGAAAAAGACACACAAGTCCAGGAAGCAGAGAGAGTCCCAAGCAAGATGAACCCAAAGAGGCCTGTACTAAAACACATCAGCATTAAAATGCCAAAAGTTAAAAGCAGGAAGAAAAAGACAGTTACCTACAAGAGAGTTCCCATAAGAAGGTCAATTGATTTCTCAACAGAAACATTTCAGATCAAAAGGAATTGGCAAGAAATATTTAAAGTAGGTAAAAACAAGAGTCTACAACCAAGACAATTCTACTCATGAAGGCTATCACTTAAAATTGAAGAAGAGAGAGGATCCAAGATGGCTGCTCGGGTAGACATCTAGCCGCGGCAGCAACAACAATTTCAATGGAATACAACTAAAATGTAGAGTGGACATTGCCCAGAGATACAGGTAGTCGACTGACTGAAAATTCTACAACAAGAAGGAAAGAGAA